GGTAAATATTTTTGTTTCCAGGGCTGCTTTTAATTCCCAGTCCGGCCCTGATGTCAATTCCAGGATCTCTAGTCCAAGCAATCTGTGCACTTGTTTTACTGTTTGTTTCTAATAATTGAAGCAGGGTTTGACTTTTTTAATATTTTTATTAGAAGGGTGAAAAAAGATTTTTTCTAATGCTGCCAACAAGTGAGCTGTGACGTGGTATTTAATACGTATCAAGATATAATAATCTTTAGGTTGTATTTTGAATTCAGAAATAAGTTGTTCAAAGATTTTAGGATTGATTCCATAAAAAGGCTTTCACTTTTAGATTTTTATACCTATACCAATCCATTTCCCTCATCTCTGGGTTATTATGTTCTACTATTTCTAACGGAGTTTGTTTTATTATTTTATCTTTCAGTCCCATTTTTTTCTGTTCCATAATGAAATAATATTTTAAGGACAAGTATCTCCTGAGCTTGAAATAATCTTTTCTTTAAAAGTTATTGGTTAATCCATATTATATTTTTAAGATCTAGCATATTTTGTTCTCTCAAGAACTAGTCTTCATTTCTAGACGCAGAAAGTTTTAACACATCCCATTGTACAGCACTAGGGAATTTGCTGGCGCTATATAAATAAAAAAATAATATTAATAATGTATGTGCATTAGTGTATTAGAGCGACTATATTGCAATAGGTTAGGAAAGGCCATACTCCCCTTCATTCTACTTCTATATAATATTTCCTTTGCGATTCTTGTTTTTTTTTTATTTGACCATATAAAATTTTCAGATAGTTGTTGGAACTGTTTAACGAAGTAAATTGGAAGCTGTAATGGAATTAATCTTAAACAATACAGCCAGTTGGGTAAAATCTATGCTTTAATAGCATTCATTTCCCTCATCCTTGAGATAGGTAGGTTTTTCCATTCCCCTAGTTTCCTATTTAATTCTATCATTAGATGTACGTAATTTACATCTATTATCTTTGATGGTTTCTTAGGCTGTTTAATTCCCAGGTAGTCTATGTATCCCACATGAAGGGAGTTTTTTGCATCGCAAGGTCAGTCTATTTCCATTGATTGCCACACCCATAGCTTGTGATTTCATTATGCCTATTTGTGCAGTTATGTGGGATTCTATTCAGGGGGTTGAATAATTTTGAGATTGGAGAAGTAATTTTAAGTTGCATTTCAGTTGAATTTGATGACAAACACCTGCTGAAAGTCTGTACATTTTGGCAATAAGCCTGATTTTCAATGGGGGTTGAATAATTTTGCAATGTGTGTGTTGTCTGTGTGTGTGTGATAGGCATGATGGCTGTATGTGATACGTATGCTATGTGTTGGCTGTGTGTAATATTTGTAATAGGTGTATTGGCTATGTGTGATATTACTGCTGGGTTTATTAGCTGTGTGCAATTGGTATTTAATTCAGATATATGCATGTAGGCCCATGTGTGAATGCAGGTGCATATTTTTTCAGAGTCACATGCACACAGGCCCACAGTCGGATTCACACAGTTATACATATACATTGTCAATTTTTGTCATATGTACACAGTCCCAGGCACATTGTCACACACACAGTTACAGAAATATAGTCAAACACACAGTCACACATTTACACATGCACACACACATTTACAGGCAGACAGTGACAAACACATATAGCTATAGAAGTACAGTAACACACACACACACACACACACACACACAGTTACATGCAGACAATCATACACACACACACACAGAGTTACAGGCAGATAGACACACAGACACACACACACAGTTACAGGCAGACAGATTTATTTATTTATAAAATATTTTACCAGGAAATATACATTGAGATTTCTCTAGTTTTCAAGTATGTCCTGCGTCCACAAAACATTGCATTGATACATTAGGGTACAATAAAATACAAAAACAATATTAATACACAATATATACAAAATGTAACATAGAACAGATAAACACACATGCACAGTTACAGGCAGACAGTCACACATACACAGTTACAGGCAGACAATCACAGAGTTAGAATCACACACTTACAGGTACAGGCAGATAGACACACAAAGTTAAAGGCAGATAGTCACACACAGCTACAGTCACACACAGTTACAGGCAGTCACACACTGTAGCAGACAGTAGCACACAAAGGTACAGGCATACAGATACACACAGTTGTACACAGTAACACACACACAGTTACAGGCCTGGGGACCCAGAGATAAGGAAAGGGTTATAGTCATTTATATGTTATTTCCCAATGAGTTCAATCAGGATGTCAGTGAATTGCTGTATACTATTAGCATTGACAGCACAATTAAGAAGTATTGATACTGCTCAAGTCTTAAATTTGTAGGAAGTTGTAATTCAATGGCTAGTCCAAACTATATGATGTTCATTTAAACTCAATAATTACTGACAATTTTATAATAAAACTAAAATGGGGTGGGGTGGGGCGGGGCCTGACCATCATGGCCGAGAGCTGTGTTTTCTATAAGCTCCCACATAACTGAGCAACAAAGCATTTCACAGCCATCTCAGGCTTGAACTGGGCCACCATTGGCAACCAATCTGCCCCTTATGATTGAGGACATGAAGAGAGGAGATCCACAACCCGCTGGGAGCTCACTTACCCCTAAATGAAGTGTACAGCCTGGTATGCACCGGGCGGGTAAGGAGGGTGATCTCCCGGCTCAGAGACGCCCAGAAGCAATCACCAGTGGACAATTGGACCGTTACCTCCCCCCAGGCTACCCCACTACAGCTGGAATGCAAGGGGAGGCACAGACAGCTGATATAACAAGCGGTGCCCTTGTGTCTCGGTGGTACCTGTATAGGTCAGCCTGATGTACTGACTAGGCTGGGTGAAATATTTGCTGCCTTCTGGTGAAAATTGGAAGAAAGTGCATGGACTGCACCAACAAGCAACTAAACCATCAGGCACATCACTCCAACAATGATCACCCCAAAGCACCTCAAAACCAATGTCTGGGAAGGCCCTAAAATGGTGGCGGAACATCTAGTGACTAGTATTGTAGTAAAGGTTCACAAAAAAATTTTGATACATAAGGGCAATGTGTCGGGATACTAGTTGATCCAGCACGCAGAACTGTATCACACCTAGGACTAAAGGTAACGTCTTCCGGGCCTTAGACTAGCCAATCTTGACGTACCAGAGACTAGTCAGAATACTTGGCAAGGTCGGGGACACAGAATGAAACACAACAATGAGGGAAAGTCAAAAGTCAAGGATACCAGAATACAGGGAAGTCAAAATGAAGCCAAAGTCAATAACCAGAAATAAACGCTAAGGAACACACTCTCGGATAACCTACTAAGGGAAACCATGACAAGGCAATGAGGAAAAGGAAAAAGGAGTTTAAATAAGCCTCCTTCAGATCCGATTGGCCATACCCGACCTTTGACCCCAGAATGTGTGTGTACGTCCGTTGCGTGACGTCACACGCACGTCAACGTCGTCAACAACGTGGGCGGACGTGGGGTTACAAATTGGAATGGATCCGCAGTGGCCAGCGTCTTTGAACATGCCGCAGGAGCCAGATACACTGGCACAGGGCTGCTGAGTAGCACCTCTGTTAATGCCAGAAAGGCATTTGCATTTACGGACACCACAAGGTGAGGATGAACATGTGATACAATGTTGATACATAAAGGATTTTATCAATAGTAAAATGGAAGGACGATGTTACATCCCATTACATAGTGATTAAGCACTTCAGGGCTGCAAGGCCATCCGGAATGCCCTGGCCAGTCACTCTGATTCAAGCAATGACCAAATTGATTTTTTTTAATAAATTGTATAACATTCATAAATACTGACCATTTTTTTTCTAGGCATACTGCAATTTGTATCTTCAAATTGAGGGGACTATCATGGGAGCTAGATTTGCACCAAGATACGCCACTTTGTTCATAGGGATGTGGGAAGAGGAATTCACCTGGACCGACACCCCATTCAATGCAAATCCTATGGCCCTATGGCATATCGATGATTGTTCTTTATCTGGAGTGGAGATATTTTATCATTGGAGCTTTTTAAACAATGTCTTAATTGAAATCCCTATAATCTTAAATTTAGTTTTAACCACTCACAAGAAAGAGTTGCATTTTTAGAATTGGAAGCTGT